CCGAAAGTTTTGTTATTGAAACTGGTGTTATGCAAGGGAGAACTCCTACACCTATTTTATTATATATCCTATTCGATTTCATTATCAGGCAGGTGTTAGAAGAAGCACCACGGAAAGGTATTAAATGAGCCTATGGTAGCAGTAATTTTTATCATCATAATTGAGAAAAGTACGACAAATTTAACATTCTAACATTAGTGTATGCGGATGATCTACTCGCAATGCGTAATAACATAAATGATCTTCAAATTTTTATTGATGTCTTTGAAAAAGTAACACAAAAAGATGGCTTAATAATGAATGTGAAGAAGACATGTATAATGCTCTTACAACATTTTAAACAAGATATAAATGGAAAAATTTTAAAAGAATCGAGCAACCAGTCAACCTGATATTGGTTTTACAATTAGAAATCAAAAATTGAAATAACAAACTCGTTTTGTTATTTAGGGTGTTTACTTTCTAGAAATAAACGGTCTGATAAGAAAATAGAATCTAGTTTAATAAAAGCAACAACAGTATTCAGCATGTTAAGAAATGTTATTTGGTATTGAAAAGCAATCTCTATCAATGCCAAATTATGCATTTTGCGAGCCTGCATACTTCCTGTTCTTTTATATGATAGTGAGGTATAGACCTTGACAGTTGCTCAAGAAAACAGAATAAGTAGTTTTTATATGAAATGTTTAAGCACAATACTTGGTTGAAATCTAAATGATCGCGTATCAAATGCTAAAATTTTGAAACTATCTGGTCAACCTACAATTCAAGACATTATGAGAAATCTTTTAAGATGGTTTGGTCATGTAAACAGAAGGGAATATGACAACAGTCACGTTTTCATACTTTCTTGGTAGCAAACATCCTCAAAATGTTGGTATCAGCAAACGTTAAGAGAACAAAATACTGAAAGATATCGAGAATTTTGGTATTAAAAACTGGAGAAGGGACACTAGAAACAGAGATTATTGTAGACAATTAATTAATCGAAATCTACAGGTTACTTTTGTTCATTCAAACATCAAAAACATAGTGATGAAATATAAAGAACAAACGGACAAAGGAAGGATTCAAGATTCGATGGCGAAACATGGCGCTGTAGAAGAAAAAGTAACAGAAATATTGAGTAAAGATTCGAACAATTATTATTCATGTCCAAATTGTAATGGACGGTTTAAACCACCAGGAATCACTGGACACTTAAAGTCGTATCCAAAAGAAGGGTGTAACACGCACAAACTTAAGTAAAAATAGTAATGAAACAAATGAAATATCGCTTCACTGGTGCTATGAAGATTACTATTTAAACCATGACGGAGGATAATAGTCGAATGATATACTCGGAGTCAATGCTTTATGAGAACGAACATGTCTCACCCTACACCGCCAGGTAACCTGGGTTTAACTAACTAACTCTTTGAATTCTATGTAAATGAAAATCGTTTCAGAAAATTCTGAAAATGGAACGAGACCATCACGTAAATGAAATATATAGTAATTCAAAAAAGCATTATTTACACAATAATTAAAAGAAATCAGTAAAACAACAGGATCTAGTAGAGTCTATCGAGATTTTGTGGTATTCAAATTAGGAGACAGACGCGATGTAAGTGGTTTAGTGGACACTAAACCCAGGCCCTGATGTGATATTAATTTTGAATTATTCTGTAATTAATGTTTTTTGTATTACTTTACAATTCATTTACGTCATCCAGTGAATGTAACACCATTTAATATCCTTATTTTAGTCGGTGAAATGTCACTAGTCTTTTTATTTCGATTCGATTGAAAAAAAATATTTTGGGTGGGGTTGATGTGGATGTGAGTGTGTGGGTGTCAGTGTGAGTGTAGAGGCAAGGAATACTCACACCGACACCGACACATACCCACACTCGCCCTATGGATATGAAAACAAAGTTAGATGCGTGGCGTTCGTATGAACATATTCGTAAACATTATGTTTTAGAAGGTGATCAATTACATTGGTTAGCTGTTTCATTATATGTATCATGTAGAAGATATAAACATCTAACAACAAATCAGAATAATCCAATATCAATATCACGTTTATTAAAAAGTGCTAATCATTTAGAATTATTTGTTTTTTTTGATAAATTACATACATGGGAAGCTATGGCCAATTTACCTGATTCAATTCGATCAAAAATCGATCAAATGTGGAACATGTTTTAATATATCATAAATTATA